CTGCGGCTGTCGCGGCACCTGCAGCTCTGGGCCCTCACAATGCAGAGCGGTTGCAGGAGAGGTTATGCCTGGCCCAGCGCGAGCCAGACTGAGCGCTGGAACTGCCGACCCGTATCCAGTTCCAGGAGTCGATAAAATCTGTCCACCACTCGAATAGGCAAGTACCCGCATTTCAGCTTCCTTAGTCTGGGGGATGCTGGGGGGCTGCCAGCTGGGTGGCACCGTGAGCCGGTTGCCCCCACCCCTCCTACCCCTGTGTGCCAGGCCTCCACTCCCCCCCCCTTTGCCCAGGGGGCTGGCGGGCTCTCAGTTCTCCCTACTTTCGTACTGGAAGGGGAAGGCGCCGGCCCCCTCCTTTTGTTGTGCGGCACGGTAAAACATTTTTGAAGTGGCCCCCAGCAAAAAATTATTGCCCAGTCCTTTTACCGGGGCCACTTCAGAAATTTTTGAAGTGGTCCCAGGCCGCATTGGAAGGGGCAGGGCCCCAAGAGGAAGGGGCGGGGCCAGAATACTTCCCTGCTTCCCCACCCACAGACTGATTGGTCTGGAGGTGGGGCAGTGCGTGAAGTCTTTGCCCCCCTGAGAGGTTCCCCGTAGGCGACTTCGCGCACGCTCCCTCCTGCCCCCGGCCAATCAGGGCTGGGTGGCGGGGGAATGTGCCGAGTCTCCTCCCGCCCTGCCGGGAGCACGTGACACTTCTAAGTGGCAGGGCAGAGGAAACTTCATGCGCTTCCCCCCACTCTCAGGCCCTAATTGGCCTGGGTCTAGGATTGCCAGGTGTCCGGTTATTGCATCTTCTGTCTGGACGGAAGCCTGGTGGGGACATTTTTCCCCTGCCATTTCTGGCAGGGGCAGAGGGAGCGGGGAGCGGGGGGATTTAAAGGGGCAGTGACTTTTTTTTTTTGTGCTCAACACGTTTGGGTCCCCCCCCTTTTTTGGGGGCTCAACCAATTTTTTCCCTGCCATGTTCGGGATTTTGGGGGAAAGTATCTGGCAACCCTACTAGGGGCAGGGGAGTGGCAGGGGCTCCACGGGCCGTATCAACCCACTGATCTGGCCCACAGAGGCCCTTTTGCCCACCCGAGCTATGGGTTGAGGCACAGGCATCCTTGAGGGGGTATCGCTACTGCCAGGGAGCAGGCGAGGACAGATCGGAGAACGTGGCATCCTCCACTGCTGGCCTGTTAGCTCAGCCCAGGTGTGCCTGTCTCTTGCGCTCTCCTTTGTGACATGTGACTATGTGGATGCTGTTTGTGGTTAGGGAGGCCCCCACATGACCTACAGGCTGGGGGGGGCATTGACTGAGCACCCCTAATCCTTGGATTTTTCTAGCCTTTGAGTGCAACCTTGCCCTTGTCACGCTGTGCTAACGCCAGCTGTGTGTTGAGCCACCTGCTTTGTGTGTCTGCTTTCCCAGTGCTAGCGACAGACATCACCCCCAGGGATGCCCAGCCTTCCGGACAGGCAGCCACCTGCACTGAACCCTGTAATGTGGCTAAAAATGAACGTGCATTGCCTTTGCCAAGCAATCCGTAGCACCGAGCGCTCTGGGCTCATTGCATGTCCCGTGTCATCCCCTCGGGTGATTTGCCTGAATTTTTGCACATCCAAGGTTGTGTCCATCTGTGTTTTGCTCAGTCGCTAAGAGGAGCCCACGGTGCCGTGAAAGACAGGCTGTGGCATTTGCAAGTTGTCACCCAGAATACTCTGCAACCGTCTTTTTCAAAAAGTTTCTGCAACTTGCTTCAATCTAGTGTCCTGACAACTCTGCTGCTTCCAAGCAGCCTGAAAACGCCTGTGGGTGCCTGTGGCCTTTTGCAATGTGCAGCTCTGTGGAGTTACTTTGCTCCCTGTGTCTCCTGGCTGGTTTTTAGGCAGCGCATCAGCAGAGGACACCTTGAGACCTGCTCAGCATAGCACACCAAGGAAAACACTCTGTCCCATCTGCAGTGGGCCCAGGAGCACCCCGGCTTCCAAACCCAGAGACAAAGCGACACACGGTGGGTGAACATTGTGCTCCGTTGGAGCGTTTCCATCCTGTGCATGAGGAGTGACGTGGTGATGGTTCCCGTCACGGGGCCTTATGAAAGTAGGCTGATGACTGTGACCTAACTGGAAAATGCTGTATGCAAAATGTCTCACGTAAGGGATGCGTGGAAAGCACGTACTCCACTGAATATGATGAGGATTGGGCCACAAGAAATCTCATGAGCTTCCACAAGGACAAGTTGAAAGTAGGCTGATGACTGTGACCTAACTGGAAAATGCTGTATGCAAAATGTCTCACGTAAGGGATGCGTGGAAAGCACGTACTCCACTGAATATGATGAGGATTGGGCCACAAGAAATCTCATGAGCTTCCACAAGGACAAGTATAGAGTCCTGAACTTAGGACGGAAGAATCCCAAGCATTGTTACAGGCTGGGGACTGAATGGCTAAGTAGCAGTTTGTCAGAAAAGGACCTGGGGATTACAGTGGATGAGAAGCTGGATAGGAGTCAACTGGGCGCCCTTGTAGCCAACAAGGCTAATGGCATATTTGGGGCATTAAGAGGAGCATTGCCAGCAGATCCAGAGAAGTGATTATTCCCCTTTATTCAGCTCTGGTGAGGCCACATCTGGAATATTTTGTCTAGTTTTGGGCCCCCCACTATAGAAAGGATGTGGACGCATTGGAGAGGGTCCAGCGGAGAGCGACCCACATGATTAGAGGGA